TGTCTTCTATAACACCAGCATGAAGTAATGTGTGTGTCTTTTCTTCTCTAAACCCTTGGCCCCACCCTCTCCAGTCTGCAGAAAATTGCTTCTTGCTTCCCTCTAGATGTTGGTAGAGCTGTTCTGTCTCCTCTTCTAACCCCAGGCATCCTCCAGATGCATTCTGAGGGACAAAGCTTTCCCCAAGGTAGAAAAAGCCTTTGTCTTTAAAGTCATTCTGCTTTCTACCTTATACTTTATTCGGCCAACCTCCATTAGTGTACTTGCCCTAACTCTTACTGTATTGAAAGATTTCTGTTCTGATTGGTAAGCAGTATGGTGGCCCTTGCAGAACATGGTAAAAAAAAATCAATTAATAATTACATTTTAAATTAAACTCATTAATTCAGCCTAACCATGACAGGATGTCACCAGGGTCATTGATAGACAGACCTGCCACGTACTTACTTATTACACAGCCCTCCCTGCGCGTGCCTCTCGGTCTCATCACCACTGAAATCATGGTTATTCCCTGGTGCTGATCATCGCTGCTTCATGTGTATCATGTACACATTGCAATTCTTGCAAACATTGTCAACACAAGTGGTTCAATGTTTACAAGTTAGGGATTCATCAATAAAATATCAAAAGCTATCTCAGAAGAGAGAGACAACTGACTGAGGATACACTTTCTAGTGTTCCATCGCCAGTCACACACCCCAGTTACCTGCATCTGTCGAGGACACAAGGATGTTTATAAATCTGCAGCCTGGAGGGTTCCTGCCTCAGGGCATATGCCCTGAATGTCCTTTGCACTGAAAGACCTGGGACATGAACAACACACTTTTTATTTCTTCAATATAAAACAGTTTTATGATTTTTAACAAAAGCATGGTTTTCCCCATGCTGTTATTGACCTGACAGATCCAAATGGCACTCAGAATTGATTCTTAAAAGACTGTGGGGGACCTGACTATGTCACTCCCAAACAGGAATGATCACTGAGTTGAAAGCAATGAAGGCAGGGCCTATGCAGGAGAGCTCTGCCCTCTGGCTACCTGCTAAAAGGCAGGAAACAGACTCAGACAGATGAAAGACTCCAGCCAATGCAAATGAGTTCACATTCTCCAACCATGGAGAATAGGTGACCATGCCATACAGTTAGACTGGGACAAACAGAAGACTCCCCTCCAACCAACACAAGTTTACATTCTCCCACTATGGAGAATAGGTGACCACACATTTCAATTCTGGACTTTACTGGCCTGGAACCCATCTACACAAATGAGCCCACGGTTGCCCCCTTCTGCCTGCTCTTTGCTCTCCTCCAAGTCGCTACACCTGCTCTGCCTTGTCACCTCCCAGGAAATGTACTATCATGTGAAGATGTTACACAGCTCAGGCTCGAAGCCATCTCGTTGAGAACTACTCATTCTCTGCACCTCCCCCACGGGGATAGGAAATACACATGTTAGTAAATTTCTATTTGTTTTTGCTTGCAAATCTCTTTTGTCTTAGAGGTCTCTTGCAAACTAAGACTCTACAAGGGCTTAAAGATTTGTTATTAACCCCTATAACTCACACATATTCATCAGCATGTCAATCACATTATATAAAAATTTAGGATTTAAGTTTTTAAATTATAATGATCAATCAAAAGATTGATTAAAAATTATATATATAATTATTATTTTTTTTTTTGGTTTTTCGAGACAGGACCACCACTGCCTGGCAAAATATATTTTTATACAATAAAAAATTTGAAAAATCTGAATTAAACAAATGTTGATTAAAAACAACTTAAAATTCTATGAAAATGTGCTTCAAATGTTAAAACTACCCAACATGTACTTAAGCATAATCGAGCATTTCAAACATGAAATATTCAATAGTCATTAAAAAATAAGCGCCACCACCGCCCGGCCTGTGTCTATATAAGTATATATTCATTTTAAATTCATGGTTCCACTTGTTGGAAAACATACCTACTTAAGTGAAGCAACTAATTTGACAAGTTATAAATCAAGACAGTAAAATATTTATTTTCTAGGAAATTCTCACATACAGCATTTTAATAATTTATTTAAAATGAGACATTTAAACCCCTTCGATCTTGTGGAGTTGAGAATAACACCTTAGACAATGTATTAAACTTCATCATTCATACTTCGGAAAAATGGCAGAATGGGAAAGATGTCATGGAAATCGCTTAGACAGACTAAGCTCATGTGTACTAGAAAGAAAGACTGCCATTTCAGCCAAGATCTCAGAAACATCTCAGAATGCTTTTTCATTAGTGTATATTAACTATTTAAAGTAAACAGTTTCCAGATTCAGAAAGACAAACATTGCACGTTCTCACTCATAGTGTATCCTAGCATCAATTCTTGAGATTTGTGTTTAACTTGGAGAGTCTGTAGATGTTAGGGGTGTCTCAGAGACCAGCAAAGAACAAGGGATATTGTCATTTGCTACTGGTTGCCCACCAGAACTTGATAGTAAGATTCTAATGCAGAAGACACATTGGTCACAGGACATGGAGAAATCAAGCTGGCATTGATCAGGGAGCTTCCTCTCCATCTGCCTATCTTTCATAGTACCAGAAGTTGGTATGCAGGCTTCTGGATGTACGTGTGACTTACCAACAGTTTTACCCAGCTGTGAACCCAATGAATCTCAGTAATGACTGATGTGGCAAGATAGGCCCATAGGCACAACAGTGGTATGAATGTTAAGGGGGTAACCAGCTGCTTTCTGATTGGTTTTACGGTATGTGACCGGAGGAAACTCATGCCTGCTTCTATATATCTGGCTGAGAATCCATGGTTGGGGAATTGTTAATGCTCAGAGGACAATGCATTACTCATTTTGCTAAATGGAAATAGTATCAAACTGTCCTCTAACTTTGTATCTCTATACCTATAGGTCAGCGCAGAATGGAAATAGTATCAAACTGTCCTCTAACTTTGTATCTCTATACCTATAGGTCAGTGCAGCTCTTAGATCTCAGGAGAGAGTTGCTTTGTGTAGTCGAAGGCAGTTAATGCAAACATACAACCTGTCAGAGTTCAATGGTGGGCTCAGCCAGTCACAGATGGACAAGCATATCACACCTCTTCTCCCTAAGTTCCAGGGACCATCTTGGAGAGGTGGCAAGAAGAGGAGATCAGAACCTGTAAGATCCGGAGGTTGAGGAGGATGAGAGCAAAGCATTCTTTTCCGTACATAATCCAATGTTCTGAGATGCACTCCAAACCACTGTGTGTATCTAGATTCCCAGGGGACTTACTTACTAGTCATCTTTCAGGACATTTCTTCTTGCTTCCTGGCTGACTCATCTGAAATCCAACTTCTGTCTCCAGGATTGGAACTTTTATGTTTTCCACTGAGCGATTATGATACAAATTTCTAAGATGCTAACCACCATGGCAGAGGCACATATATCAGCCGCTAACACTTAAGGATTGACGGGGTACCAAATGCTCCCTGCTAGGTCCTGTTGAGTTTTAAGACACTCATTGCTATTCAGGTTTTATTTAAGGAGGCTAATAAAGTTGGAGGTAGGAGGAGTCGGCTTTTAACAGTATGTGTATGCTCTTAGTAATGCCACAGAATAACACAGTAACACTTGCTGCAGCCTTGCTTTGACCCCCACTACCCAGCTTCCCCTAAATCCCAAGGTCAGATGGAACAGGATAATGGAGAATGCCAGGGATCCGGGTGAGGGGTGGGGGGGGGGGGAGGGGCTCTGGGTAGAGCTGTAAAGGCACCCTAGATCAGATCATTACTGTTTGGGAAGTCTACCTAAGCAGGACCCAACCAACAGGAGCCACCACTCCCTCGACCAAGTCCCCTCACTTCCCGCTCTGGTTTGCACGAAACAGCTGGAAGCCTAGGGGCGGGGGACGCGTCATCGCCACAGCCTTCCGCCTTCCCACTCGCTACGGGCGCACGTGCTCAAAGAGTCCCTGTCCCTCCCGCCTCCGCGCGCGGGGCCGCAAGTTTCTTACACGAGAGGCGGGCGCGCACCGCGTCTTCTCCCTGGCCCCCACCGCTGCAGTCTCCACCCGCGGGGAGGGCGCGCTCCGGAGCCGGCGAGGGTGGGGCGCCGCGAGGGAGGGGTCCCAGCGCCGCAGTCCTCGCGGCGCCCGCTCCAACAGCAGCAGCAGCAGCAGCAGCAGCAGCAGCAGCAGCAGCAGCAGCA